GTTATTTATTCGACACAAAAAATTAAGAAACCCGTAGATTTGTGATCCTATCCCGCGCGTGATTCGAATCACGCGCGGGATTTTTGAAAAAACTGCGATTTGCCCATCTCTACGCTCCAGGCTTTGAATTTATAATTTTTTAGGTGTCAAATCCGGTAAATTATAAATTTAAAATCCCTGAAGTGTATGTAGTTTTTCTTTTTGTAGTTTTTTTAAAGTGTAGTCAATGATTAAAAATTTAAAATTATAGAATATATTAATGGGACTTATTATGCAACACTACGGTTTATACCAAGTACTAATCCTATTGTAAAAATAGAAACAGAGCAAAGGTACGTAGAATAGTCGTAGATGAATTTATTCACAATATTATTTTTTAAAATTACTTATTACCAATTTTATAAATAACGACAATAATAGGAACAAAACTGTAAGCATTTATATGTATTAGTTTTTCAAATCAAAGAAAAATATATTTAATAATTATTCTTTTTTTTGAATAAATAGGTTTTAAATTTGCTAGGAATTCTTGGTGGCATTTGGAGTGCCATGGCAGCTTTTTATGCATTTTTATTTGGTATGTTGACCATTTTAAATAAAAATACAATAATAATTTTCTCATCGATTATTTTTTTCAAAAAAAATATATTAGGACTTGGTTTAATTTCTCCATGGGGTTTTATACACAGATCGCGGCCATTCAAAAACCAATATAAGCAGGACTTCTTAGTAAACACATTGGATTTACAATTTGATGAAGGAGAAAAACTTGGTACTGAAGAACATGAGAATTCACCAACTCAAAAACGACTCGATGATTTAGAAAAAAACGTTGAACATTTGAAAAAATTTAATAAATTCTATAAAGAATTCATTATCGATATTTCATTCATAAATTCTATTAGAACAAATTCATCTCCTCTATTTGATATGGAAAAATGATGCCATATTGTCATTAATTATACAATTTTGATATTTGATCGTTCCGGTTACTAGGGTCATACGATAAAAATTATAAATATGTATCAGTATTATGTATCATAAATATTTAAATACATTATCATACAATGTTAACAGTTTATAAAATTTTTGTTTCTTGTTTAAATAATGAATTACATACTGTATGTATATCAGATTTAAACATGGTAATAAAGTGACATTACTGTGATTGAAGAGTACTCGAGTCATTCTGTTAATTTGATCAGGAATGCTTACTTTCAAATTTGATTAATATACATGACATCTTTGCAATATATTTTGACTCGCGAATTAAAATTAATGTTGTAATACAGTATCAATCACAGAGCCAACAATTTTTGAACCAATTAATTGCATTATGGATCGACATAAATTGAAAATGACACAAAACATATATAAAGCGTCTATTAACACAAAAATCTGTGAAGATAAAATTGAAAATAATATACACAAGGCATTAACTATTATTAAAAATCTACTGATTTTAGAAAATTAATTAAATAAGCCATCTTGGATATTTTATTTAATGGGGATCTTTTTTAGTATAACTGGGCATATAGAAATATTATAAGATTATAATATAAAAAAACTCTACCCTAACCTTAAACCAACTCTAGTTTAAACTACAATCTCACCCTAACCCTAACTATTTATAAATTTGCTTAAATTAGTTTAAATGGTTATTTTTATATTATAATCTTATAATAATTCTATATTGCCCAGCTATACTAAAGATCAACCGCAAAGATTACTATGCCATAATGTAATTGTTTAATTATTACATACCGTTTCTTACTGTGTATGATACCCCTTGATTTTATACTCCTGTATTTATACCGAGTACATATGTTGTAAAGGGGGCCAGGTGACTGTGATCCAACATATTTTTATTTTTGTTTTTTTTTTTGGTTTATTTTATTTTTGTTATTATTATGTTATTAGTTATTTTTTTTATTATCAAAGTTGGAATAGTATATGTTGCTAAAAATAGGAATTTTATACCTTGGTGCAAATTGTACCTGGGGCAAATTGTATCAGGTGCAAATTGCATCTACTTATTCAACACCAGGCGCAATTTGCACCTAGTTGACTAAGCCCAGTACAATTTCACACTAGAACAATTTTTTTTGCAAAACTTGTTGAAGTTAGTACTTGACAAATATATTAAAATAGCAAAAGTTATTCATATACATAGTAAAGGTCAAAAGTATATAAGACCTATCTTTTTGTCATAATAAAAAAATAACTCAGTACAAGTTAACTCATTAGTTGAGTTCTTAACTTCAAAATTGTCAAGTAGAAGTTGGTCCTCTAATAGATAATTCTCTTGATCTTAAATTTGTCCTCTATAAACCATTCTTAATAAAACTGTTTTCAAATTTTCTTATCCCTGTAATACTCATAAAAGTCACTATTTTTTTTTTTGTAAGAGAAAAGAGGAAGCAGCTAACAAATTAATAATCTAGACTTTATTTGTATCTCAAATAAATTAAATTCTAATCAAATATCATCATAATTATTATTGTTTATCAATTACATCTAACAATCAAAATTATTAAAGTCTTGTGATATATAAATCTGAAGTAAGCAGTATATCCAAAAAAAGAGCTATTTCAAATTAGTAGTATCATATTCAAATAATACAAGTACTAGTAACTTCAAATAAGAATTAAAAAAAGACTCAATCTGACCCAGTTATTAACCCCACAAGGCCCAAGCTCTAATAACTCAGACCAAGTCTCTCCACATCTCAATTGTTGCCTTCTTTATTTGGAGCTACAGCTTTGATTATTATTATTATTATTTTTAGTGATTAAATAGATTTTAGATAGATAGTTACCACCAGCTAGATCTTAACTTTATACTTGGTGGTAACTATGAGATTGAATTTTTCAAACCTACTTGAATAGTAAAACAACCACATAGTTGCCAATCTAAGATTGTAAGATTTGAAAAGAAGTTAAACAAATAAAAAGAAATATTTATCAAATTAAAAAAATCTATAGCCAAAATTTAAAATTTAGAAGAGATAATTAAAGAAAAGTAAGAGATAGCTAGTTACCTCACATCAAGACAATCATTCAAGATATAAACCTCTGAAAAGAGAGTTTGCCAAAAATAACCTCTGAATACAAATGCAATATATCTATTGTAAAATGAAAAGATATATAGATAATAAATATCTAGAGGTAAAAGTGTTAGAAGAACACACTCGCTAAAAAAAAAAAACTGTACAATAAAAATAATCTCTGTAAATTTATATATTTAAACAAAAAACAATAATTTATTATTTTATTATTAAGGCTTTCTTTTTATTTGTATTTAATGGCAAAGTTGTTTATTGGCCTGACATGGCTTATATATTTAGTTTTTAAAAGCAGAAATTATAAATAGGTAAATAAGCCATTAATATATCGCAAATATTTAAATAAATATAAATATAGATGTGTTATAATGAACTTAGCAAATTCAAGATTCAAAAAATTTTCACTAAAAATTATAAGACTTGCCAATAAAATTTATAATAAGTTTAGATTGATAATTCTAAAATTTTTATATTTATGTTGAAGATATTTATTGACTTGTATATTTAGTTTTTAAAAGCCAATTACAAAAATTACAAATGTGTAAATAAGCCACTAATTCTCTCGAATATTTAAATATTTAAATAAAATTATAGATTCAAAAAAATTTCATTAAAAA